TTGGATACTCTGTATCATTTGCTGACTGAGCAACGTTTAAATCCAATTATGCTGGGGTTTCTACTTTAATTCTATCAGTTTTTAGTTCTTCATGTATTTTGAAGCTATTAGTTCTGTACATATTTATATTTAAAGTTGACTTTAAAAAAATTTTTGGTAGTTGTAGATAAACAGCATGTCTTTATTTTATTTATTTTTATGTGGTGCTGAGGATCGAACCATGTGCCTCACACATGCTAGGCAAGTGCTCTATCACTGAGCCCTAGCCCCCAAAAGCTGATTTTTTTTTTAAAGAGCAGTTTTAGGCCCTCAGAGAAACTTAATTTTATGTATCCACCAAGTGCACACCATTAGCGTCCCACATCAGAGCGGTACATTTAATTGATGAACCTACATTGACACATCACATTCACCCTAAGTCATACTTTATTAAGGTTCACTTTTGGTTTTGCAGAGTTCATGTATTTTGACAAACATATAACAGCATGTACCCATCATTATAGTATTATGTAGAATAGTTTCTCTGCCCCAGAAATCATCTACACTGAATCTATGCATTCCACCCTCCTCATAACCCATGGTCTCTTTACTGTCTGTAGTTTTGCCTTATTTCTCATATAGTTGGAATCATTATGTAGTTCTTTCAGGGTGGCCTTTTAAACCTTGTAATATGTATTTAAGGTTCCTTCTTTTCATGACTTAATTATTTATCCCTTTTTAAAGCTGAATATTTTTCATTATCTAGATATACCACAGTTTATTCATTCACCAACTGAAGGGTGTCTTGGTTGCTCTTAAATTTTGGAAATTTGAATAAAGAAATCTGCATGTAGATGGAGGACACAAGTTTTCATCTCCTTTGGTAAATACCAAGAAGAGCAATTGCTAGATCATGTAGTAAGAGTATGTTTAGTTATGTGGGAAACTGATAAACTATCTTCCCAAGTGACTGTACCATTTTTGCCTTCTTACCAGCAATGAATGTGAGCTCTGTTGTTCCACATCATCACTAGCATTTGGTATGTTGGATTTTCTTCATTCTAACAGGTTGTAGTAGTGTATCTCTACTACAACCTGTTAATTCGCAATTCCCTAGTGGCATATGATGTTGAATGTTTTTTTTCTTGTTTACTTTTCATGTCTTCCTCAGATCTTTTGCCAAATTTAAATTAGGTTGTTCATATTCTTGTTGGGTTATTCTGTATAACAATTCTTTAACAAATATAATTTTACAATGTTTTCTCTGTCTGTGGCTTGTCTTCATATTTTCTTGACAATGTATTATGAAGAGCAGAGGTCATATTCTAGCAAAGTCAAACTTATTATATAACCCAAGGTTATATATAGGTTTTCCCCTATGTTGTTTTCTAGGAGTGTTACAGTTTTACATTTTGTATTTTGGTCTAGGAAACATTTTGAGTTAATTTTTGTGAAGGCTATAATATCTGTCCAGTTTTTTATTTTTTTAATGTGGATGCTCAGTTCTCACATTATTTGATCATAAGACTATGCTTTCTTCAATGTATGGCCTTGGATCTGTTGACCATATCTGAATGGTCTGGATCCTGTTTAACTAATGTGATCACATCTGCTTTTTAATTGGAATTTTTAGTCCATTCCCCTTTCAAACAGTATATTTTTTGTGGAAGTTAGTCACCTTGTTTGTTTTTTAATTGCTCCATTTTCTTCCAATGTTCCCCCCTTTCCTGACTTCTTCTGGGTTAAACATACTCATTCTCCACTGCTTTAAGGTCATACTTGCATTATCTTTTTAGTGTGTTATCTTTTTTGCTCGGTTCAGTTTTAAAATCCACACCCCCAGTTTTCAGATTATCTATATATGTGTGTATACACATTTATACTTCACTAATCTCTTGCAACATCCAATAGCCCATACAATGAATTTTTCACTTCAGATATTGTATATTTTAGGTTTTGAGTTTCTATTTTCTTTCCTTCATGTCCTTGAATATACTTATATACTTAAGTTTCTAGTAAGTTCTATGAAGCTCTATTAATTATAAAATTCTGGGCCATTTGGGGGTCTGTTTCTAACAGCTTTTTTTATTGTGGGTTACATTTTCCTGCTTTTTTGCATTTAATTATTTACATCGAAAATAATACTTTGTATGGAGTCTGGATTATGTCATCTTTCTATAAATATTTTTATTCTTTGTTAGAGTGAGACTATTTCTGTTGAATTTACTCTGTAATGGCCTATGGTTAGCTATTTTTGCAAATGAAGTTTTATCGCATACCCATTTATATATTTCTGTGGCTGCTTTTGTGCAGTAGTAGAGATAAGTCCTTGTGATATACATTGTCTCGATCTGTTCATGCTGCTATAACAAAATACCATAGACTGGGTGGTTAGAAACAACAAACTTTTTTTCTCATAGTTCTGGAGACTGGGAAGTATACTCAGATTTTGTCTGTTGAAGGCTGGCTTCCTGGTTCACAGATGGTGCCTTTTTTCTTCACAGTGAAGGCAAGGAAGCTCCTGGGGCCTCTTTTATAAGGGCACTGATGCCCTAATATTAATTCCCAGAGACACCACTTCCAAATACCATCACTTTGAGGATTAGGTTTCAGCATATAAATGGGGGAGGATATTCAGATTATAGCACTATAGCTCACAAGCCTGTCATATACTATCTATCTATTTACAAAAACCTTTGCCAACCCCTGTTCCTAGGGTATACCCCTGATTCCTAAGGCATCACATTTCCTGGGCAGTAATTAAAGCCTCAAATGTTCGATGGGGTCTCTGCACTTTGGGTGCTCTGCAACTCCAAGGATTCCCAGTACTGTAGAACATCTGGTATCACTGTTCAACTCTGAAGTCCCAGAGCAGGCAATCTCTTACTAGGCCCTGCAGATCATTATCCTGCATATGCACATCCCAGCCCTTATCCTTGATGAGTCCTTTAACAAATTTCTGCCTTTCCTAGGATTCTTATAAACTCTGTCTTATAAATTTGATGCTTCAGTAACCGGAACCTCTGCTTCCTCAGCTCAGTAGAATTAACACTGTCTGTCTTTGGGCTCAACTTCTCTGTGATAATTCTACGGAAGATACTCCCAAGTAAAACCCTAGGATATTCAATTATGGGATTAAATGTCTTGTGTCCTCCTTTCCTCAAGAAATCACAGTACTGAGCAGCTTTTCCTTCATTGTCTGAAAATACCTGCTCACGTATTTTGTCCAGGTGAAAGGGCAAATCTGGTACTAGTTACCGTGTATTGGCAAGAAAAAGCTGCTAATACAAAACCAAAGATCCTAGAATATACAGGATAATCTGATGATTCTACGCACAGCCTTTTATTTATGACGCCCATTGAGTTTTCTAAGTAAACTTTTTCATGTTAACCATGTCTGGGTCCCTGAACTGTTCCTCACAGTACAAAATAGATACATGCTGGAGATGAAGAACCAAGACAGTTCTCTTCGAGCAGTTCAGTCCAGTAAACAAAGCAGATATCATACATGTTCTTTCTTCCCCATTGAAATACATCTCTGAAGTTGAGCAGGAAGAAGGGTATAATATAGAACTAAAGGTAATTAAAAGCAGAAGGACCCTTTACCAGTATATCATCCTTATCAGGAACAGATATAATGAGAAAATTGGGTAGAATTCATAGAAAGCCAAAAAAGTATATAGCAATAAACATGGTAAAGGTTATTTTTTATACACTTAGTTAGAAAAGCAAATTAGGCATATGCTAGCTTTTGCCTTTTAGGGATCACTGGTATCAGAAACACTCAACTGAATTGTCTTGAGTCCTAAAATTGAAAAGAACTGGGAACAGTTAACCTCATCCATAGAGACTTTCTTGTGCTCTCACATGTCTGGTTCTCTCTACAGTGAAGCTGTTTAGTGTTGTTTTAGTTTTCATGAAGTTCTAGCTTAAGAGAAGTTATCCAGTGACAGCACCTACTTGGGGAGCACAGAAGCATTGTTACCTACTTACTGTCCAGACATCAGGTAAGGGTAGGATACTTAGGAGAGACCTTTACACCTATTTTAAATAAATATAAGCTTTACATATAATCTCAGAGACATTTAATTCATTAAAAAAAATTGGCTTTGCTGTGTCTAACCTGTGTTGTTTGATTGGCCCTAGTATAAGGACCACTGAGTTGTGAATATCTGACCAGGGAACAAAGCCTGACTAATAGTGGTCCAAGATATGCAGGTTTGTAAGTTCACAACAAAATCAGACTTTGATATGTTTATTTCCCTTGACAAAGAAAGATCAGAGGTTGGCACACGCTTTCTGTAAAGGGCTAGGTAATAAATATTTTAGGCTTTGCAGGCCACACTCTGTCACAAGTATTCAATCCTGCCATCGTAGCATGAAATCAAGCAGCAATAATACATAAAACAAATGAGCAGGGCTGCATTCTGATAATAGGTGTCTAGAATTTGATCCAGGAGCTATATTGCTCTTATAAATGAGTTTAAATATTTTTGGTTTTATAAAATTTTCAAAAGCTTGAAAAAACGTTTCCCTGTTTTATAAATTGCCATTTTTGTTGATTTCTTTTCCCTTCAGTTGGTAAGATAAAGCTATTTGTTGTTACTTCACATTTCCTCCAAGGGACCAAATTGGTGAAAAGAATTTTTACAGGGTACCAATACGTCAATGAATCTTACATTATTTTGCATTCTATGAATTAAAAATGAAAACTCCCTTCTCTTGGGGCTGGGGCTCCGTGGTAGAGCACTTGCCTAGCATATGTGAGGCACTGGGTTCAATCCTCAGCACTACTATAAATAAATAAATTAAAATCCATCAACAACTGAAAACTCCCTTCTCTTGACAGATAAACACTACGAGTGAAGAGTGGTGAAAGGGAGCACTGATTACCAAGTGGCCTGGCGAGAGAAAGCACTAGTCCACATCTTGTGGTGGAGAGACCTTCACTGTCTTCCCAAAATGCTGCTGAAGTAGTCTTGCTGCTGCTCTCCTTCACTCAGTCATAACACCTCTGCAACATGGGCTGCATGAAATCAAAGCAAACTTTTCCATTTCCTACCACATTTGCACCAGAGAAGCAAGATGAGAATGAAGAAACCTTTATGCCAGAACAGGAATTTCTACCTAGGATGCCTTCTCCAGTTCATGTCAATGAGGAAGTGAAGAAACCCCCAGTGCCCAACATTGTGGTGCTTGAATATGCACACCGTCTATCCCAGGAAATTTTGCATGATGCCCTGCAGCAGTGGGCACGCAATAACATCAAGTACTATGACATCCCATACATTGAGAGTGACAGCGAGGGCCTTGATGCTGTAGGATGACAACTTTGTTGACCTGTGGATATAGTTGGTGCTAGTTTAAATACATGAAACAGAAGCAAACGCTGGTGTGCATATAAGTACAAATAACTCCATCTGGATGTAGAAACTTGTCTATGATAATGTCACTGGTGTAGGAAAACCTAAGATGAAATGTGTTTTAAGCAGTTCTGTGTTAACAGTAATTTCTACCTGCTGGTTTTTGGAGTTTGGTTATGGAAGGGCCAAACGAGGTCCTGTGGCACCCAGTAATCATCTGGGGGTCACACCACTTTCTTCCTGAGGCATAATGGCACCACCAAAGAAAATGCTAAAAGTATCCCAGGTTCTAAATGGTTAAAGTCACTTCTTTAAAATAACCATGTCTGTTAATTTATACCAAAAAAAAAAAAAAAAAAAAAAAAAAGCCCAGATGTGAAAAGGTTTTTCCCCATAATGCCTTGGCAAGGGAGTGGCACTCAGATCATAGTGATTCATTGTGGATGGTTTGCCAAAACCATTTGTCAAGGATCCCCACTTCTCAACACCTATGACCTAAGATTAGAATACAACCTGTGTAGAAAAGTTCCACCTCGAACCCTGTTCTTAATATATTTTTATAGATGAAAAGCATAACTACCACCTTGAACCTCAGGGCCCTAACTACAACTGTTATTGAATGAGTCAGACTATGTGTAAAGCCATCTTTAAAGATATAATTTATAGAAGCCATGACATTAATGTTTATTGCATTGTATTAAGAAGTCCTAGGTTCCTTTTACAAACAACAATCCAGTAAATCTTTAAAATAACAGAAGCCAAGTCAGTAAGGTAGAAAGCAAAACCTGGTATTAATTGTGTGTTAACCTTTGTTTCAGAGATGCAGATGTGGGTACAGGTGGCACTTATTCCCAGACTTTTACTGACCAGTAGAGCAATTCCATTCAGTTTACATGGGACCAAATAATGCATGAGGATTTACAGTTGTGTTACAGAACAAAGTAACACATTCCTCCAAGAAGCAGTACTTGTTTTTTAGTAGTAATATGTGCCCATTGGGCATTTTTAGCCATACACTATGCGATTTTCATAAATTAGGCTTTTTTTCTCTTTTTACTGTTATCACGTACACACTTTAGAGAAAAAAAAATTACATAACTGTTTGAAGATCAATGGTAACATGATTTGGGAGAGGGGGAGGAAGATACTGAGAAGACAAAACTTTTAGGAAAAATGGGACTGAGTCTGTAGAATTATCTCTATTAATATTTGCTACATAGTTTAATTAAATTAGAAAGAAAATCCTTTTATTAAGATACACCAATGTCACTGAAATCTAAAGGAGGTAGAAGAAGGCTTGTGACTTCAATATATATTTGGCTTTGTATGCAGGCAGAAAGCTACACCTCTAACTTAATGCAATACTTTGAAACCAACAATTGAATCAGTGAATTCTCCAAGTTACATGAGCACAGGAAGGGATATAAAGTGATGTCCCAAATTTCAGTGGTTTTGGGATGCCTGATTATTCAACTTGTAATCCTGCAATTTGTATAATGGAAAAGCAACCAATCCTCCTCATAGAAAGACCTGAAGTCGTAGTCCAACAGAAAGTTTTTAAGTACAAAGTACATTTGTAGCTCATGAAAATTTTGAGGTTTTTCGATTTTATACTAATGACACAGACAAAAACCTAGATGAGGATGTTTTCTGTTTTATATATTACTAAGGATGCTTTTGCTGTAAGGTCATTTGCTATTGGAAAGATATAAATTAAACCTATACTATCATACTGTGGTAAGAACACAAAGCCATACAAAGCAGTATGTCACTAAATTTTTCAGTATACATAGGGGACATAGACTAGTGGGGTTTGGGTCTAACTAAATATTTTAACTTCAGGTTCCTTCTTTGCCCTCTGCCCCTGTTTCCCAGAGTGTAATAGGAATCTCTGAAAGATCCATATCTAGCTAGAAGTCTGATCTCTGTTGTCACCCTCTCTCAGCACTATGGTGGTAAAATTTTATCATTGAGCACCACCCCTGCCCTGAATTTTATTTCCATAGAGTATGATGTATATATCATCTAAGAGTTATCTAAAAGCTGCTGTATTATATGTCAACCCATGAACAAGGAGCCACAGGCTTACATAATCAGTGAGTTAGTGGATAAACCAGATGGGAAGATAGCTAAGTAAACAATTTATAGTGCATGTGACAATTACTAAGACAGAGTTTGGCCTTGATGACAAGAACAGTTTTGGTAAAATTTTGCCTTCTTCATTCATTCATATTGAAACATGGGCTTTACTTCATTTTTTCATAAAAAAATAGGGCAACTGAGAAAGAAGGAGACCTATAAAATAGAATACTGAAGAGAATTATTAGCTACTGGAAAAGGACATATTTGGAGCATTAGTGGTGTAAGGGCCCATGCACACTTACCAGCACAACAAAGACCCTCCAGGTGGCAACTGTGGAGGCTGATCATTAGAAAACAAGCACACCAATCCCTTATTTACAGAGTCACACAACCCCACAATGTGCCCCACTGCTGCTTTCCCAATTGTCTCTTACATACCATTAACTTTCATGCCTTTGGACCTAGAATTCTCCACTTTGAGTTGCTTCATCAGTTTGTTGCAAACTGCCTGTGGTTATCAGCACTCAAGGCATATTGAAGGCGACAAAAATTATTATCATCTTAATCCCAAAGGAATAATCTATATCAAGCCGCCTTAATACTATAGTATGATAAAAATAGCATGGTACTCATACATCCTACTCAAAAATCATTGGTATTCTGAGATGGTGTGGAAGTGTACATTTGCATTACACATTGTAGAAATCAAAAGTTACAGACGCATTTAAGTAATGTCAAGAAACAGTAAAAATAAAATTTTGCTGGCTGTGGTGTTACACACCTATAATTCCAGTCACATGGAAGACTGAGGCAGGAAGACCTCAAGTTTGAAGCTAGTCTGGGAACCTAGTGAGATTCTGTCTTAGAAGAAAATAAAATGGCTGGGAATGTAGCTCAGTGGTAGAGCAACATGACTCACATGCACAAGCCCCTGAGTTCAACCCTCAGCACCTCCCAAAACAAAGAAAAGTTCTAACAAATACCTGGTTTAATCATAATGCCCTCATCCTGTCTTTACATGAACAAATAAGCCATGTCTTCCTTGGAGCCAGGAGCACTGGTTCAGGAGTACTACCTGCACTTTAATTTACAAAACCCAAGTTTTGTTAACAAATTCTCTTCCCTGTAAGAATTAGTTATAAAGTGGTATATTTTTTTCCAAATACGTTTGTGAATTTTTTTTTTTTTTGGTAACTATACAATAAAAGTCCAGTTGCAATCACATAGCTATAAGTTCTTATTTAATTGAAGGAAAATCTTTTCAATGCTGTATACTTTGACATTTTTTAACATAAAAGACAACATTTTCTGTATTGCTAACAAGTGTAAAGTGAATAAAAATCCACTTATACAAATAATTTCTTGAATCATTTGAGTTCAATTTAGAAGCTTTAAAGATATGAATATAAATATCTGATATCATGACATTTTTATTTCAGATCTGTTCCTGAATTTTTTGGAAGAAACCATGTCAAATAGATTAAGAATTGAGCAATACCTTCTGGGCTTCAATCTCATCTATAAGAAGGCTATAATCCATAATCTTTGATGTCTTTCTATGTTTTTGTTCTTACACACCTGAAATTTTTTTAGTTTCTGATGGATGTGGAATTAAGGAAAAACTAGAACAAGTTACCAAATAAATGATAAACTGACCTTTAATTTAAAAATTATTCTTAACTAGAACTTTAAAGCCTTACATACCTTAAAAAACACTTATTTTGTCAATAGTACCAATTATTGAAGATACTTATATTTTAAACTACTTTTAACTATTATCACACAAAAGTTTAAATAATAAAAAGTAGAGCATCTCTGTCTTAGAGACTGGGGGTCCTTATTCTGCCAAATTAGAAAATATCGTAAGTAAAAAATAATGCCTTCATTTTCACCCATGGGAAGATATTCTAATTATTTTAGGGAAGATCAAAGCTGAGTTAACATACTGGAGAGAYAACCTCATGAGAACTTTTTCTTTTTGACCAAGATTTCTAATATATACAAAAGGAACTCTTATGCTATAGTAACCCTATGATGCATTACCACAGAATCCTCAAAAAAAAATATCAGGGTCTTTATTTTTTATAATCCACACCTAAGTTTGTTTAGCCAAATCATAAATCACTACTTACTGAAAGCCAAATTTCCCATTTCAAATAGATATAATAACTTGAGAATCTCAAGAGGTCTTTGAATTGTCCCATCCTCAGAAAAACGGATCAGAGAGTGAATAGTTTAGGCTTTGCAAGCCATACAATCTCTGCTGCAACTACTCACATCAAAGCAGCCATGGATGATACGTGCAGAAGAACACAGTGATATTCCAATCAAACTTTATTTGTAGACACTCATGAACTTCATGTAATTTTCAGAAGTCATGAAATATTAATTTTTTATTTCCTTTCCCAACCCTTCAAAAATTAAGATACCACTTCTAGTTTGTAGACTACATAAAATGAGGCAGCAGGCCAGACTGGGCTTCTGTGTTTAGTTGTCAACCTCTGCTACAAAATAAATTTTAAAAGTAACCGTCACCTCAAAATCTCAAATCATTGCTTCCCAGAGATTTAAAATAATTGTCCAAATCTTCATCAGTAACTTCTTTTAGATTAGCTGGTTTCCATTTTGGACTCTGGTCTTTATCAACTAAAACTGGCAAAAGAAGACATAGATATTAGGTTATTTATTTCTATTTAATTACTTATAGAAGCTGTTTTGTAGTAGGCATATTTTGCTATAGTACATTGTTTCCTTTCAGTATATATTTTTGTACATTTTTCTTCTAAATTAAACCCTCAGAGAATATGGAAGGACAGCAATATACCTTTGATGACTGGTGTGGGTATATTCTCACCTACTAAGCTTCATGTCTGCAGATTTAATAAAGCCACCTGAACTAATTCAGTGATTTAAACATTCATTTTCCTCTTTCAAGAAAATAATTATAAGATAAAACTAGTGTTGGTATGGTTGAAAGGGAAGACAAGGGAGAGCAAATGACTCAGATCTGCCACCTCACCTCCACCACACTTAGTTTTGGGAGGAAAATTACTTAAGGTTGAGAGAAAAGAACTTTATGCATAATTAAATGTGGACATTGCTATTCTGCCAAATCCTCTAGCTCAGATAGCTCTGAATTAAAAAAAAAATCAGACTATCATGAAGCCTTGTTCTTCTCTTGTTTCAGTGTGGTCATCACTTAGTGTAGCCACATAATATCCCCACAGGACTATAAGGATGAGGCAATCTATAACCTCTTCTTAAAAAATAAGAAGAGCCATGCTTACTTCCTGGTTGTGACAACACATTACAGTTATACATGTTTTCGTTTGGGAAACTGGGTAGAGGGCATACAGGATCTCTACATTATTTCTTACAACTAGATGTGAATCTACAAAAAAAAAATTTTTTTTAAATGTTATGGTTGGGGTAGCAAATTTCAACTATGCTTAAAATGTGCATATTTAGGGTTGGGGCTGGGGCTCAGTAGTAGGGCGCTCAACTGGCACTGGGTTCGATCCTCAATACTACATAAAAATAAATATACTGTGCCCATCTACAATTAAAGAAAAAGTATTTCAAAAACATGTTCATAATTCTGGTGAATAATAGAAATATTTAAATATACAAACTCTACAAAGACTGGAAAAAAACTAATTTTTTAAGCTAATGAAAGAAGCAGTCTGGGAACCAAGGAAGAAGCTTCTCTTGGTAGGTGGAGAAAAGGAAGCTTTATATACAATTAAATGTGGACACTGGAAGCCTTGTTAGAATCTTTTGTTTTTGGAGGTTTGTTTTGTTTGTTTTAGGATGGGGTGTGTCTGTGTTGCCCAGGCTGATCTCAAACCAGCCTTCTGAGTAGCTGGGACTACAGACAGGCATGCACCATCACACCCAGTTTGTGCTGGAGGCTGTTAGGTATGGCTATCTGGGATTCTGCAATCAGATCAGTGGTGATGTTAAACACTGATGTTCTGATGCCTACTTTTGAGTCTTCTGACCAATACTACCTACCCTCCTTGAAGTTCCACTGAAGGACAAAAGAAAAGAGAATACTAATCAAATCTGGGTGTTATTTCAAATTAACAAAAATTTTTGCCTAGGATAGAAAGAAATTCTTGCCATGTAGGCAACTGTTTTTTTCAGAAGGTCTCCTAAGATACTGTTTAAATTCCATTTGGTAGCTACTTAGCTCTACTAAGATAACCCATTTTTATTTCCTTCTATAACTAGACAGAAGTTTATTCTAGATGTAAAGAGAATTTTTGCAACTTAATTTGCTAACTCATTTCTTCTAATTTGCTAACACATTTTTGTAGTTAGAAAATTGTAGCAAGAACATGAAATAGTTTTAGCCAGAATAAATATTGCTTTCTGAATAAAGAAGCTGTGCTAAAGAAGAGGCAACACACCTTCTCTCATTTGAAAAGTAGCTTGATAATCACTTGCTTTATGAATCAGAACTCTAGATAACACTGCTTGACTTCCAACTTTTTTCTTAAAATAACTGCAAATATTTATCTAAAAATAATACCTCCCTTTTTGAAGAAGAGCTATCATAATATATCATGACTACTTTAGCAACACAATCCAAGGTAGTACACAGGTCCTCCTAAAATCAGAGATGTAGGCACTAATCGCATGCAGTGAGAACTGGCAAGGAATTAGTGGGAAAAACGCATATTGTACTTGATTTCTATAAAACATAGCCATTTGCTCTGACTCAACTCCATTGTCTTCCAAACAGATTTGTACTTGGTGCTTATTTCTAATAATGTTATATCATGCCAGAAAAGAAGAGAATTCTACAATAGTCACTGGTTTTTACCAAAGCTTTGAGTTCAGAGAACATAACCTTTTATTCAGATAAAAATGTATATCTAGAGTATTATCAAGATGATTAATAAAAACATAAGAAAATTAGATATACAAAATATATGCAGAGAAAAAAATTCATTTTATACAATAAACAAAAACTCCTTAGAAAGATGAGGGCTATTCATAAAAGGAACTGTGGCAAGTTTGTTGGGAAAAAACTATCACTTTACTTGCTTTTTTCTAAAAATGCTGACTTTAGAGGTGAGAAGTAAAAATGGAAAGTATAACGTCAAATGCTTTTTCTCCAGCAATGTTTAACTGCTCAGGTACAGGCAAGGAAAGTAGATGGTAGGATTCAACCACTGCCCAATTTAACCAGGCCAGTAGCAAAAGAGGAAGAAGGGAAGGAGAATTGAGGGCTTTTGCAAGGAGTCAGCAGCAGGATGAGTCTACAAGCTCATAAGGCAGTCCATGTGACTGTAAAAGCAGGATTACTACTTGTATGTAAATTAGGGAGCAGTAACCAAGTTAGGTGAACTTTAAGAGCAATATTAGTTTCAAGACTGAACTTCCCTTTATATCCAGTATATTTAAAAACACAACTTGCCAATTTTTACAAAAGTTTAATTTTCACTAATAAAAAAACTACCAACTTTAAGTAACATTGTATGCTCACAAATCCTATTTCCCTGATATCTAAGAAGGAAACACAGCTATTTGTTACTTACCAGCTCTAACGCCTTCATGGAAGTCATGACCTCTCTGAAAGAAAATTGAGGTTAATGTAGGAGATTTCTAGGCATCCTTATCCTGGGTTATGTCTCTCTTTCAGCCGCTGCAACCTCCCTCTCCCATGACCATAACCTGAACCAATGACATTTAGAGCCTGACAACTCTCTGATCATCAACTCCAAATTTTATTTGTGAAACTTTGTTCACTGCTGTGATGCTCTTGGTCTTCCTCAGGTCCCCTGATTCCATAACTCTTCCCCCTACACTGGCTTCCTATTGCTCTTCGTACAGTCCAGTCCCCCCAGTCCATTCATAGGTCACTTTTCCTGGAAAATGCCTCATCTTCCTCAAATGTCCTCTCTTTTATACAATTCTAGCAAAATCCCTGCACCAGCAGAACCCGACCACTTATCTCTGTCTGCATTTGAGCAGCTTAATCTAGCTGAACAAAAATCATACAACTGTAAGTGGTTTTGTTTAAAATTCATGATCACAACTCTCAGACAGGCATGGAAAACTATCCAATCTCTTCCCAGTTCCCCAAAATAATAATTTAAACTGTTTCTTGCTTTCTCTGCCTCTTCCCCTAGAGAACCCTCTTACAGTATTCTCTAATGATCTAACCTCCTACTTTATTAAAAATAGAGAAGCCCTCATGAATGAACATTCTTATGTCCTCACCACTGAAACATGTATTGCCAACTGCAGCCATCTGAACCTGCCTTCTTTTTCATGACTATGGAGGAAGGGACCATTCTCCTCGCAAGGCCAGTCCTTCCCTACACTCCAGTTCACATCTCCTTCACCTTCTCAAAGAGTCTGCTTGAGAAAGTCATCTACTCCTCTGCCTGTTTGTTTTCATGGAGTAGATTTATAGGCAGTTTTTATTTTCTTATTTATCTTTTTCTGTATTTTACATTGCCAGTGCAACTGCATAACTGAGTGGGTGAGTTTATGCAGTTCAAGTCACTTCCTAGTTCCACTACACAGTGACCATGTAACCTTGCCTAGAAATTTCTCTAAACCCCAGTTTCCTTATATGAAATGGCAATACCAATACATCCATCACAGGATTCTTTTAATCCATATTCCAGTAGGGCCTGACACATACTAAGTATTCATAAGTTATTATTAGTATCATCAATATAACCATTTTTCTCAACTGGATCATTCCCAATTTACAAACAGGTTCTAGTCCGTTCCATGTTACAAAATGAACCTCACAGTCCTAGCTTCTACCTATTTCTATTTCAATTACAAAAAAAAAAAAAAAAAAAAAAGTTGTATACACATATTGTGTCTACTTTCACATCTCATTTGCTCATTTCCTCTCCAACTTTCTGCACTCTAACTTCTTCTTCCACCACTACTCTGAAGATTTGACAAAATCACCCATGGTTTCAGGGTCACCAGATTCAAAGAATACTTACTTCTAAGCTCATCTGCCAGATGTTTTGACAGTGCCACTGCACTCTCTCTACCCCACCTTAAAATGATGGGGGTTCCCTAGGGCTCAGTTTTGGGATCTCTTGATTTCTAGATGATCTTATCACTCACTGCCTTAATGCATCAGCCTGAGTGATGAGCTCTATTAAAGATCATGGCACTCCTCTGCTTAAAAACCATCTAGTGGCTTCCATTTTAATCAGAACAAAAGTCAAAGATCTTACAGCTTGAAGCCCCTGTATGCTCCACCAGGCCCTTCCCCACAATATTGCCTCTGACCTCATTTTTCACTCACCACTACATTACCCCTCCCTCCCACATGGCCTCCTTGTTCTTCCTAGCACAGGGAGGTACACTCTCCTCAGAGCTTTGTATGTGCAGTTCCCTCTGCCTGGGATGCTCTCCCTCCAGAAATCTACATGGCTCACTACTTTTAGGGTCTTCATTCAAAGAGCAATTCTCTGGTTAACCTATCTATAGTTTAACCCCCACTATGGCTCTGTATTCTGTATCCTATTTTCTGTTTTTTTTTTCTCCTTAGTATTTACACTCAATAGATTTTAGCTACCATTGCCTCCTCAAGAAGTAACTTTAAGACATGGTCAAAAAGAGCTTTATTTCTGATTAGATTAACAAATTTGATGTCTTAATAGCTATTTCAAGACATTAAAATCCATTAGGCATGTCTGCTTTCTGTAATTAAACTAAATATTCCCTTGACCATAAGTTTATATTAATCTAAATAATATGATACTTAAGGGCCCTCTGAACGTAAGGGACAATTCTGCCTTTATAAAGTTTATTATATGGACAAAAAATCTGACTGAAATATTTCATGATATTCACATTGCCTTTGATTGCTGTCTATATTTACAATAGTACTTTCAATGTTAATCTACCAACTAAAACATGTCACAAAACTAATATTTTCCATTTATGCATATATCAACTTATAAGTAATAATCCTCATTTTTGCAGAGAAAGAATTCAGATTTAGAACAGTTATGCTCGTTGCCCAAGGTGACAGAGACCTTGCCTATGAAATGGACAGTGTTCATTTTTAATTCCACATGAGGTCAGAGGCCTTTTTATACACATGCAAATGCAACTGCTATGTCATAAAGGCTTCATGATAATCTGGGTAGCAATACCTCCACAACCCTAAAATTAATTGGCCTGTTTGTTTTCATGGAGTAGATTTATAGGCAGTTTTGATTTTCTTATTTATCTTTTTCTGTATTTTACATGTTCTACATAATGAGCATATATTACTTTCCTAACTAGAAAACCATATTTTTATTTATTTATTTTTTTTATAGAGAGAGTGAGAGAGGAGAGAGAGAGAGAGAGAGAGAGAGAGAGAATTTTTTTAATATTTATTTTTTAGTTCTCGGCGGACACAACATCTTTGTTGGTATGTGGTGCTGAGGATCGAACCCGGGCCRCACGCATGCCAGGCGAGCGCGCTACCGCTTGAGCCACATCCCCAGCCCATCAACTTTTATTTTTTTTTAATTGGTTGTTCAAAACATTACAAAGCTCATGACATATCATCTTTCATACATTTGATTCAAGGGGGTTATGAACTCCCACTTTTACCCCAAATACAAATTGCAGAATCACATCAGTTACACATTCACATTTTTACATAATGCCATATTAGTGAACTTTTGTATTCTGCTGCCTTTCCTATACCCTACTATCCCCCCTCCCCTCCCCTCCCATCTTCCCTGTCTACCTAATCTGTTGTTGTTCAGTTCTCTCCCTTGTTYCCCCCCCCCTTTCCCCTCACAACCTCTTATATGTGATTTCATATAACGTTGAGGGTTTCCTTCCGTTTCCATGCAATTTCCCTTCTCTCTCCCTTTCCCTCCCACCACTCGCCTCTGAGAAAACCATATTTAAAAAACAAATTCTTACCATACATGCTTGACTCATACGATATTCCTCAGTTAATACATCCTTCAAGGTCTGGGAAGACCCCTTTATGAGGTGTCTTAGAGTGATCTTTAGAGATGTTGGAGACATTTGATTAATTACCTTTTGGGGAAAAAAATATTTGTTAGTTGTAGCCAAATAGTTCCTTTATTGTCTATAATAAGCCAGAAGAATTTCCATGCAAGTCATATTAAAATATGCCCATTAATTCATATGTCAAAGACTCACAAAGGGTTATGCCTTAGCCTAATCCTGCCAAAACACCAAAATTAAAAAAAAAAAAAAAAAGAGTTCTGTTACAAAAAGAGATCATTCCACAAGTGGGGTAAATTCTATACTTACAACTTAATGTACCTTTGGGGTTTGCCTGGCATAAATTATGATCCCAACTAAGCAACCAGTGATTATATTTAAATAAAATTAATGTGCATATTACAAAGTAGTAATATTTTCAGTGGACACTTTCTCTTACAATGTAAAGAAAGTAAAGGAGTTAAGAAAGGCAGTAGCTTTTCCTTCCCACTGACTCTAGAAGTGTCTTATCTGAACTCTTCACCTGTAAATAAACCTACTTACCTTGGAAGAGAGAAGACAGAATGATCCAAGTTACTATGAGGCATTCTTCTATAGTATTTAAATAATAAAATAAGAATTATAGACTGACTTCTTACTACAATGCTATGCCACTTGTTCTGAATTTAGAGATGCTATTACCAGTGTTCCAATGCATGAGCATGATCGTAACTACCTGGCTGATGAAAGAGTCCATTCCTTGTCAGAGACACCCGATGCCTACATTTTCCTTTATAATTGCAATATATAGTTTCCAGCTTATTGTTCAATGATTGCTCAAAGGTTTAAACTTTATTTTGTGAATTCAAAGAATTCCCCACTTCAAGAGCCTATGTTCTCTGTATTATCCTTAAGTCTGGTGAACAGATTCAAAGAACAGGTTGAGTGGCTAGGACAGCATCTTACCTGGCAGTTGGCAGAGCTTAAGTAGATGACTACCATACAGGAAAAGTCTAGGAAAGATCAGGGACCTACATACAACCACAGTGCTGCTGAAGAGAAGACAAGAGAGCTATTACCTAGTTGATACTTCCTGGAAGACAAGAGAATTGAGGAGGGGAGGGGAGAGAAGAGTAGAAGAGAAGAAAAGTGGATAGGACAGAAATAAAAATGTTCTTCAAGGGAACTCACCCTTCTGAGCTAGGTGCTTTGTGGACATCATCCCACTTACTCCTACTGCCTGTTCCTGCCTTTCTAGTCACAGGGCATAAGGATAACACCTCACAGCAGTCTGTATGCTGTGCCAGGAGGCCTCTCCTTTGGCAAGCAGACAATGGGTCCATTTTGTTGACAAATCTACTAGTTTTCTTTAGTAGGAGCAATACCCATATTGTTGTGAGTACCTGGAAGTGAGTACTTGGAAGAACTTTATTCACAATGCTGAAAATTATACTGAAGGGAAAAGCCACCTTCTGGCTTTTTTGTCTACAAGGTCAGTGAAACCACAACTCCTTCATCAACAACATTGTAGTGTGTGATCCCACAATTATTCCTCAGCAAAACTGTAAGAGCTAACTGCTTATGGTTTCCATTTTGATTTTGCAAATTGTAAAAGTCTGTCTTTTGTTATACTTCCTCAGTTGGCTGAGGAAGTATATTCCATAAGAAAGGCACTAAGGGCCCCATTTATTTGTCACCCACACATGAAAAAACGAGGGGAAATGCTTCATCCAAAAAGCTGTTAGACATTTTATGAAATATTGACTATTGAAAAATATTTCTGTAATACTGATACTGCATAAGAAAAAACTGGCATACTGACAACCTAAGGGTTTAACTATTCTTAGTATGCTAGCAATTTAACATTGAGGCTTGGGGTTAGGCTCTAGGACCACAGAGCTCTGAGTTGGAATCCCAGCTCTACCACTTCCTAGATGACTGACCTTAGTCTCCTCATTTGTAAAAATCAGGCTAATACTACCACTTGCCTTGTAAATGGCATGGCAATAAGGGTACTGCAATGCATCAGAAACACAGTAGAATAAGGATGTACTGAGCACATCCCTATAGCTCTTAGGGAAGTTTGTTAATATGTTTCATTACACTTTGGGAAAGGAGATGGGAAAGATGAGGAATGAGGAAACCAAACCCTGATATGAATCTGTCCAAGGTGACATAGAAAGTGAGTTAGGAACCAAACCCAAGGGTACTAACTCCAATTCCTACTATACAAGGCTATAAAAGTAGTCAAGATTGTCAAAAGCTGCAGAGAATTCAAAAAGAAAAAGGATATCACATCAGGTAATGAACAGAAACAACTGAAAACTCATGTAATTTTGATAGTGGAAGACAAAGTAAGGAAGACAATGTCAAAGGAAGGCATTTTAACTTGTTTAAGGGTAGAAAAGCTTTGAAAATAATGGCATAAGAAAATGTGCCAATAATTCAAGATGGTAAACTTGAAGATACTGAAAGGAGGAAATGACTGATACAATTAGTTCCTACACAGGAAGGAAAAGATGGAATGAGCACACAGATGGGGACTTTTCCCTTGGCGGAGAAGTGAGAAATGTATTAGAATCAAAGAAAGATGAAGATTGTCAAAGCAGCCATGGATTTGTTAGTACAGACTATTCTGAAAAATTTGATGAACAATTAGGACTTTCATCTTTGGCTATGCCAGAAATGTGTACTGATGCAATTCTGTACCCACACAACCTAGTGAACATGTTTCTACTCATTGTAAAATACTGGTCAGTGTTCTAATCAATTTCTCTGACCCATTAAAGATTGTCTCCTATACATCAAGGAACCAACTTCTTTTTTCCTTTACTTTTATCAAAATGATTCACATTTTAATTGCAGATCATTAGAGTCTACTCTGAGGAGTAGAAGTGTCTACTTCTGAGGAGACAATAATAAACAGGACATGGTCCTTGCTCTCGAAGAGCATTGTATCACTATAATCACTGCCTGCTGGATAAGAACCCTTCTTTCAAGACTTATCAAAATTCAACAATAGAAAAACTCAAGATGTTGTCTTTCCTCCTCCCCCCGTCTTAGAAAACCCAATAACACATCTTGTGACATGCACTTTCAATAGAAAAATAATATGCAATAGGGCTGATATAAAACTAGAATATTCAGTACATCTATTAACACAATTAAAACATTTTATCAAGTAGGTCTTGGGGTTGACTGAAGAGGTATATAGGTATGCCCCTATTTTTTCTTTCACTATGTGAACTTAGAAAATGTTCAGGTTTTTCCATTAATAAATAAGGATGCCATTTATAACATTCTCTAAAAGTCTAGAGTTAATCCTCAAAGAAAGAATCTGTTATAGTTAATTTTAAATGTCAACTTGACTGTCTCAAGGGATGACCAGATTTTGGATTAAACACAAATTCCTGGGAATGTCTGTGAGAATGTTTCTGGATGAGATGAGCATTTGAATTCGTGGACTGAGCAAAGCAGAAGACCCTTCCTAATATGAGTGGATAAATCCAATCCACTCAGAGACTGAAGAAAAGAAAAAAGGTAGAGGAAGATGGGTTAGGCTTCTCTCTCTGCCTGATTCCTTATGCTGGGATATTAATCTTCTCAGGCTCTTTAAATTTAGACTCTTTTCCTTTCCGGCTTTCAAACTCTAGCACTGGCTCTCCTGGGTGTTCAGTTTGCAGACAACAAAACATGGAACTTCTCATCCTCCATAACTGCTTGAGTCCAATATCTTATAAAACAACTCTTTTATATATTAATTATACGGATTACACACACACACACACACACACACACACACACACACACGTAAACACCTATCTCCTTTTGGTCCTGTTTCTTTGGAAAATCCTAACACAGAATTCTAAACTTTGGAATTCATGTATATTTCGATCATTTTAGTTTTTAAAATGCATTTAAAATAGTTCAATCCCCAGCACCATTAAGAAAAAGAATAATTACTTTTAACATACCATATTACAGACAAAATTTTTTAAAATCATCTGATCATCCCAATAGCTGCAAAAAAAGTATTAATGATAAAATCCAACCTTTATTCAAACCAATAATCACCAAAAAACCTTTTAGCTGATTAAGACTAGAAAGATCTTCCTTATATTGACTTAAAGAAAAATTCCATAGAAAACCTATAGTAGTCAACGATTTTAATGTTCTTAAAGATTTTTTTCCAGAGATTGGGAATAAGACAAAGATGACTATCATCTCATCACTTCTACTGAATATTTTGCTAGAGGTGTTGAAGCAGTGTAGGAAGCTGGGGCAGTATGTGGGGACAGGCAGTCAGAATAAGGAAAGGAGAGAGTGACAGGAAGAGAAAAAAGAACTAAAGGAGGAGAAAGGGAAAAAAAGTGAAGAAGGAAAGTATATGTACAAATAATTCAAAGTAATCTGCAAACTATAAATGACTCAATGAGTTTAGACAAGTCACTGGATATAAGGTCAACATACAAAATTTAACTTCAATTTTACGTCTACATATCAACAAAAAGTGAATTTTTAAAATGATACCATTTACATTGAAACCATTTAAATATCTAGGAATAAATTCACTGCATGATGTAAATGCAAGTCCTCTACAAAGAAAGTTACATCTTCACTAAGAGAAATTAATGCACCTGAATACCACACTTTATCTGTGGAATTGAAAACTCAACATTCTGCTTTCCCCTTGGAAGTCTGGAATTTTGGTGTGTGCTCGGCACAGTGCCTACAGGTCTAGTCCCTAGTGAAAGCCTTGTACACCAAGTCTGTAAAGTCCTTCACAAGTCTTGTCTCAACCAGGTGCTAGAGGAATTATGTAAGTCCTGTGTCACTCCAGTGAAAGAGGACTCTTGGAAGCTTGCTCCTGGTTTCTTCCAGATTTCACCCCATGTGCCTTTCCCTTTCCCTTTGCAGATTTTGCTTTGTATATTATCATAACATGAGTACAACTACATGGAAGTCTCCAGAATCCTTCTAGCAGATATCCAAACTTGGGGGTGTTCTTGGGGACCCTTGATATAGAAGACAATGACCTATATTGCCTTTTAGATTCCAATGTTCTTGAGGATCCTTAAGCCTTAGTAACACATCTATTAATATAAAAGCTTACAGAGATGGCCATGATTTCTTAAATAGGAAATAAAAGAAAACCTATAGTAATCAACAATTTTAATGTTCTTAAAGATTTTTTTCTTTAAGAAATGTTCTTAAAGATTTTTATCTTTAAGGATAAGTTGGATTAATACTAAAATTAACAGTTTCTGTTCATCATGTGGCACTATTTAAGAGAGAGAGAGGGTTGGGGTTATAGCTCAGTGGTAGAGCGCTTGCCTTGCATGTGTGAAGCGATGGGTTCGATCCTCAGCACCACATAAAAATAAGTAAAGATATTGTATCCATCTACAGCTAAAAAAATTATAAGAAATAAAAAATAAAAGAGAGAGAGAAAGAGAGAAAAGGCAAGTCACAGAGAATGACTAAATGAAAAAGAAATAATATCATAAGTTGATAAGGCTGTAGAACCAACCAATGCTCAAAAGTAAATGTACAATCATATTAGGAAATTATTTGACAGTAATAAAAATGTATGCATATTTGATGACTTTGCTACCAAAAGACATACAAAAACATTCACAGAAGCTGTTTATATTCTTATCTTTATATAGTGAATTAAAGTCCATTCCCCAGAAATGTATGTTGAAATTATGTTCATTTTATTGACAGTATCTTTTAAAGAGCAAAAGTATTTAATTATATTAAAGATCATCTTACTAGGGGTGGGGATGTAACTCAGTGATAAAGCATTTATCTAGATGTGTAAGGCCTTGAGTTCAATCCCCAGTACAGCAAAAAATAAATTAAGGATCATCTCACCAACTTATTTATTTTTTCTGTTCATTCTTTTTCTGATTTTATATATATATATCGGCTAAGCCAAATTCACAACAGAATTCATTTCTGCTTTCTTTTTTAAGTGGTGAGCCATAGCATTTACATTCATTTTGAAATGTATAATCCATTTTGAAATGCATGTGGTACAAGGTAAGAGTCAAGTTCTTTTTTCCCTTGCATATGGATATCTAATCATTACAGAACCATTTGTTGAAAAGACCATCTTTCCCTCACTGAATTACCTGAGGACTTTAGAGTAGCCTTCGCCCTAGTGTTAAATCAGGTGTGAGCCATCTGCCTGATAGGAAAGTGATTTCAACCCAGACCTGAATGAGCATTGTGTCTTATTCAGACCACTGCTTTTCTGTGACTCTTCCCTTGGTCTTGTGGAGTTTTACCTAAAACACATACCGATGAATATTCTGGAAATTCCTCCACAAAGAAAGCCAATAAAACCTTTTTTTCCTTCCCTCAGGGACATAGGTAGTTGTTTCATATATTTTGTCCAGTTTTCTACTTGTTTACAGCAGAAGAAAAGTTCCTTTCACAGTTAATTCTTCATGAATGAAAGCCTACCACTTTATGTTGAAACAGTATATTTTATGAATAATTCTCAAAGTTTATAAAAAGATGAATGAAACCTTCAGGATGAATTTCTCTTTTTAGTATTTTGCTCTTTTTAAAAATCCATGTTTGGGTTATCACTCTTAGTTTTCCTATCCCTTCTCCTTTTTTTGGTGCATAAATCTGTATGTTAACTTCTTTGGGAACGAAATTGTGTATCATTTACTCTTCACAAAATGGGTATTTTTAAACAAATACGTAATCTCACATTGCTAACTAGAAAGAAGAATCACAGTTATCTTGTTTTTAAAATTTGTTCTAATTAGTTACACATGACAGCAGAATGCATTTCGATTCATTGCACACAAATGGAACGTAACTTTTCATTTCTCTTGGTTGTACATGATGTAGATTCACACCATAAGTGAAGTCAAGAAGAACTTATATGCCCTCTCTCTAAGCCCTCACACAATAGGCCATCCCCTATCAACAACAGAGAACACAATTAAATGAGTTAAAGATAACTGGTTTCCTTGGCCATTCACTCGACCAACTTCCTGGATATAAACAGAATCTATTGTTCCCTGTTTTTGTTTCTCTGACTCTCTGGCCATGGACTTCATAGAGCCTAGCTTTCCTAAGGATTGGTTGTCCATTTAGATCTCCTTCCTTGGCTTAGTGTTCTTACCAAGGGCTTAAGGGTAGGAAGAAAAACTTCGATTTTCTTCTTTGTGTGCTCCTTTGTTTACACTGCAAATGGATACTTGAAGAACCTTCTTTATTTTGGAGAGCCTGGTAGTCTCATCATCAGAAATGAGAGATTCAAAAAGAAGAGGGAGTTTCGAGCTGGGGATTTAGCTCAGTGGTAGAGTGCTTGGCCAAAAGAGGCGGGAGGGTGGGGCAAGGAGCTCTTTCAATAAGTCAACACAAAAAACTCTGAAAACACAATTTAAAAATTGGCAGAAGACTTGAAATTTATCCAAAGAAAACATATATTTGTATATCAACAAATATATGGAAAGACATTTAAGAACACTAATCATTAGGAAAATTCAAATCAAAACTACAATGAGTGGTCTGGGGTTGTGGCTCAGCAGTAGAGCACTCGCCTAGCATGCGTAAGGCCCTGGGTTTGATCCTCAGCACCACATATAAATAAATAAAATAAAGGGTATTGTATCCAATTACAACTTAAAAGAAAAAAACTTCAATGAGCTATCATCTTATAAATATTAAGATTGGTAGCCATTGGGATGTCAAAAATAACAAGTGTTGGTGAGGATCTGGAGAAAATGGAGCCCTTATACTGTTGGTAGCAACATAAAATGAAACAGCTATATGGAAAATAGTACAGTTACTCCCTGAAACATTAAAAACAGAATTAACCTATAATCCATATGGGTACATATCCAAAAGATTAAAAACATGGCCTCAAAGAGAGACACCCATGTTCACAAGAGTATTGTTCACAATAGCCAAAAAATGTAAACAAAATGTAATATATCCATGCAATGCAGTGATATTCAGCCTTCAAAACGAAGGAAATTCTGGCACCTGTCACTATATGGATGAAGCTTGAGGACAAAATTCCAAGTGATAAGGAATTCCAAAGGAAAAGTTCTATGTGATTTCAATTACATGAGCACTAAAATTCACAGAAGCTCAAAGTAGAGTGGGATTATTGCCAGCAACCATAGGGAGAGTGAAAGTCAGAGTTGTTGTTTAATTCATCTAATAGAGATTCAGTGGAGGAGTGTCTGACCCCAGCCCCTAAAGACCCAATCGTCTCACCTGACCTTGGGACACTGCCCCCCTTCATTGTATGGGAGGCAGAATTTTTTGTTCCCCAATAAAAGTGTACACCCTAGCGTGTTCTCTCTCTCTTGCTAGCCTCTTCAGTAAACCTCGCTACTTTAATGGGTAGCTAGAGGCTAGCGGTCCTGGAGCTGGTTTAAAGGTAATTAGAGTCTGTCTCTTTAATTCAACCTCCCTTAGGATTTCTCACAAAGCCGAACCTTCACATATAAAGTCTGTGCTGGCTGCTGGCTAAACTCAGTTGTGTACACATTTATATAAAAATAGCTTTTCTTCTATTATCAGTTATTCTATAGAAAAATCAGAGTCCTTAACTCAGAAATACTACTTAAGACTTAGCTATTATAAATAAATGTAATCTCTTATTAGTTTAAATAGGATCATATTTCCATTAAACCTCTTGCTTAAAAAAATACTTCATATTAAACAGAATTCATCAATTAATATCATAATTTCAAAATATCATCAGGTGACTATTCGTCAGTGACCCAAACTTTATGATAAAAATCTTCCTAAAAACTCCCATAGGACAAAGGGGACTTCTTGGAAATGAAACAGGGTTACAAAAATCCCTATCTGTTACATTCAAAGGATATAATCCCAGCTTGACTTTGCCCTCAAGAGCAGGCCAATGTTTACTAGAACTGCTTCCCAGGCCTTAGGTTACAACCACCACAGACCACTGACACCCCTCAGAGAGACTTCCGCACTCTAAGACTTCACCATATCAGAGAAGAAAGAATCCATAGATTACCTTCAGCTGCTCCAGGGCAAAAGGTGAACCATCTTGCTGTAAATTTTCAATAATCTGTTCCATGGTGTTGGCTGAAAAACATCTAAAAAAAGGAAACATGTTTTCACCAATGTGCAAGTGATTTCCCATTTCCAGAATAACCAAGAATATGAAAACAAGCTTCCCCCAGACCCATTGCAATAATGAAGAATTTCTTAGCCTATTTTATAGGATAATGAAACAGAATTATTACTCCTCTAGGTAAGGGTTTCACAGTCTACCATCATTAGTGCAAAACAAAACCTAAATCTTCTCTTTTCATTTGCTTTCTTACATCCATAGTACTTATATGTAAATAAATATTTCAACTAAAGAAAACCTGAAGCTTGTGAAATGAAGAGATGGATTTATTATTTTCCAATAGTTTTCTTCTTATTTCCTTAGGCCAGTCTGTCAATTTCTCAAATCTTTCAGACAGATTTCTCCTATAAAACCTTTTGCTGGATGCTTTAATAAAACCTTCAGAGAAGATGATTTTACAAAGATAAAAGATAAGTTAGTTCAATTACTATTTTCTAGCCTTTCTTCCTCATTTCTTTAAAAAAAAGGAATTTGAATTAAACTAAATTAGCATGGAAGATTAGTTAATTATAAATGATTATTATTTCCCTCTAAAAGAGATGGGCAAGAAGTTACTTTCAAATTTAAGTGAAAATAAAAGCACACACTATGCTATATGATCATAGAATTAAGTATACTGCCAAATACAACATAATTACAATGTTAGCAAATTCAATTTAATAGTTTTTCCAAAGGAATAAATATAATAAAGATGTCTTTTAAAGTACCTGTTTATTTTGTCCAGGTGGTCCTCAAGAATAAAAGACTTGTCTTGATCAATCTTGGACTGTTTGAAAAGAAATAATTTGAATTCAAAAATTTTTAAAATCCATAAAAATTACATTTTAATGATATACTTTGTGACAAATAATTACGTTCAGTCAAATTATATCTAACAATCTCAAATACCTACCATTAAGTGCTCAAAATGCAGATGATATGATGTACTCTAGTTCTTGCTAGTGTTAAGGCAAAATGTTCTTATATTTTTACTTTTATGCGCTACATTTCCATTTAAATGTATCTGTGAGTTTAAGGATTTCAAGGGATCTGAGAGATCATCCTGCCAACTTTCTATCCGATCTGGAAATTCCTACTATATTACTGGTGTCCCTGCAGCTCTGACCTCCAGAAAAAGAAAACAGTACTTATAAATTTGGTATTTTGGGTGGTTCTCATGTATGTTCATTAAATTTCAATAGTTACTATTAAATAGATTCCTCTAAATTCAAAGTATTTTTACATTCATGTACTTTTACCTAACTTATTTTCTTAGTTTCAAATCAATTTGGTCAAAATTCTGTCAACATTCTCACCTAAATCACTGACAAAAGTACTGAATAAATCCAAGATGACTTTCCTACAGACTAATACTTACACATTTAACAGAACTCTTTGGTAAGGCTTTTTCAATCTCCACATACCATAATCCAATTCATGTTTATCCAATTTGATAAAGTGAAAGACTGTTAAGTGCTCTGACAAAAATGGATAGAATCCTCATAAGCTCTATAGTCACATTATTACATCAAGTACTCAGTGACCCTGTCAATCTGCACTTGAGTTCTTTATTTCTCGGTTACTTTTTGTACGGTTTCTCTCAATATTTCATCCTTTGTCTTCTCTGTAATAAATTCCTAATAATTACACATTGGCCTTCCCTTCTCTTCCTTTTCCATCTCATTATCCTTTTCTTCCTCTTATCCTGGAGTTTTCTTCAATGTCAATTTTAATCTATCTGTTGTAGGGTTTTTCCATTTTTGCTATTGTATTTAAATTTCTTACTCTTGCCCTAGCAATACTTGTTTTTCTGTGAAGATCTGAAGTTAGGAAACTATATGTATATGCTGGTTCTCTAAGCCAATTGAAGCTATGGGTCTTCCCATTTAGTTACATTCCACCTCTTAAGAATACAGAGGGATCTCAACCACACCTGTCCTCAGAGTAAGATTCTACTCTGCTGCCATGCTATGTGAAGACAGTTGCTCTGGGTTATACAGAAGGAAGACTTCTAGAGTTCTGCTTTTAAAAACTTACAATTTAGCTGGGCATGGTGGTATATGCCTGTAACTCCAGCTCCTGGTAGTTGAGGCATGAGAATTGGTAGTTTAAGCCCAGAGCCTGGGCAATATAGTGAAACATTTTATCTCAAAAATGAAAGAACAACAAAAACAAACAAAAAAACTTCTTGTTTTTCTTCCCCACTCCATGCTTTAATCTATTTTCTCTTTTCAGTGCTGGGGATTGAACTCAGGACCTTGAGCATGTTAAGCAAAAACTTTTCCACTGAATCATAGCCCTAGCCCTATAACCCAGTTTTCAGAGGGCCCTGACTCCTTAGAAAGGGTCTATACCAGGAATCAGCTGATTTCTTATTGTCTTTCCCACATTGAAGGATGATTTTAGCATTCTCAGGTATAACTACCTGAGCCTGCTGATTTCAAGCTCCCAGAATGTTGGGCCGGGGATGTAGCTCAGTGGTAGAATATTTGCCTTGCATGTGTATGGCCCTGGTTCAATTCCCACCAACACACACACAAATCCTAGAATTCAAGCTCCTAGTACGTTGACACGTCTTCCATCGTCTCCTGTTCCATTTGACTTTGTGGTTTTATGCCTTTTTTATTCCCCAATTATAATTTTAGTGGTTTTTTGGAAGAAGTATGTATTCAATAAGATGTGTAATTAGAGTTGTATAGTGAGTGCTTTTATACTTGGCTTTTACAAGAAAAATCAAGTTAGATAACTTAAGAATTAAACCGAACATTATATTATTTAGATAGATATTTAGCAGCTCCATAAAACAGTGTGAACACTGAATCTCCATTACAGAAATGCCACACTGTGTTGTGAAAAGCCCTCGGAAGACATTGTACTGAGGTTCTCTAGCAGTGATGAGAGGAGCTGTGCACAGTAAGAAGTCATCTTATCAGATGACTACTCTAACAACAAAGCACTGGTCCTCTCCCCAAGATTTAAAGTAAAACAATCCCCAGTATATTTATTTACATCTACAAACTATACTATTTACCAACTGATAAGTTTTTAATCACTTCACTTTCCCCATAAATTAAAACCTAGGGTAAAAGCATTGACAAGATCACCTGTGTATGGTAGGTTTCTAAGACATCTGCGACATTTTCCTTTGAAGGAGATTTCAAAGCTACCAAATCTTCCTCTAACATGCTCACCTATGGGGGAAATAAAAAGATAAACATTTGAAACCCATAGAAACAGAAAGGTTTTTTTAAATTAACTTTCATTTTTTTTAAAAATCTCTCTTTCTTTTGTTAGAATCTTATCTTAAAATGCTCTCTTAAACTGAGTCATTCCCACAAAGCAAATTGCCTTAGCAGGAACAGATAAGAGATGGAAGATACTAAGGAGCACTTGAAATGTGGCGCAAGTTGAGTATCCCTAATCCAAAATCGAAAACACTTCTAGTCCCAAGCATTTCAGATAAAAGATACTCAACCTGTATTGTAATCAAAGATTTGATTTATAAATTTTATTTTAAATTAATTCTAAGTAAAATTACCACACTTAACTAGGCGCTACTGTCATCACTGCCACTTACTTCTCCATCTAGTCATTCACATATCTATTCTACAACTAAATGCGACTTTTCACTATTTCCAAAACATAGCTAATGTTTTCCTGGCCATGAGGTTGATTTATTTTATTTATGTTTATATACTCTATTTGCCTTTTTCTGATGATACTCACGGGAAGGCCATCTAATCCTTTCTTACAGGTATGCTCTTTCTTTCAATCCTTTGAGTACTTTCTTAGCATGTATCCTGTTTTTATACGTGTCATGCTTTACACTGCCAGATGAGACATGTTTATCTACCTTTTGTACCCACTTCTAAACCCATCTTCACTGGGTATTACTCATTTCTGTATTTCCTATAGGTCCTAAGAATGGCTGTTTATCTGCTACAGGTATTATTATTGGGCAAGATGACAGAGAAAAGCACTGCACATCAGTTTTCCCTCTTCTATCCTTAGCTAAGTTCTACTATAATCAAGAATATCCTTCCAGAGTGGACAATGGAATGTCCATGGCTCAAGGGAAGGATGAAACAGCTGCTTACTCAATGTCACTGAAGATACCCATAACAGGAAGATCTGCAACTTCAACCAGATGGGATGGAAGGCCCTCATAACAGTGTACAGGAACAACTTCAATTTCTTACACTTCACATACCTCATAGGATCCGTAATGGATCAAGATCAAGGTTTACTAACATAAAAAATGGCACAGCCAATTTATAAAGTTAATAAAGGGAATTCTATTAGCAAGCAAATGATACATTTTTATGCTATCCAACTGGTTTATGTTAATGGCTGGTAAGAGGATGCATGACATTAAAGAATTATATTTTTTAACAGTCCTTAGGCATTTGTAAAATAATCCAATGATTAATGCAATCTCTGGTATCAGTGCCCCAAATAGAATGTTATAAAGTAGACACATGGGTACATGTGGGACATCCTGTGTAACACAAGAAATTCTCAGTGAAAATTCTGGTTAACTCTTAAAAAAAAATACACAGAGAAAGTTGTGTTAAAATACTAACAGTTAAAATCTGAATGCTTACTGTATGTCAGTTATATAGCCAAGCATGAAACACAAATTTTCTAATTTAACTTTTATAACATTCCTTCCTCTAACTCCAAACACCTTTTCCTCAGATACTCATTGAAGACCACATGCTTCCTGAGAAGTGGACTTCACTCTCTGGTTCCAAAGATGAAGTGCATTACCCAGAACAGATGGGGCAGTCAGTGTATTCCACCCACCCATATGGTTCAAATATATATAATATAAGTCAGGGTGAACTAAGCAAGGTGAAGTAGAATAAATCACAGGCCTTTTACTGAGAATTCTGGGACAAAATCACCTCAAATTAATTTGTTTAGGTTTGTTACATGTAACACAACGAGTTTTGATTATTATGGAAATATTATCATCTCCCTTTTGCAGACAGAAAACCAGGAAACTAGAGAGGCTAAATTCAGGGTAGGTTTTAAACTCAGTCTATTTGTATACTCTTTGCTATCCTAAGAAAATTGGCCATACTACTAGAAAAACAAAATATAAGATAAGTAACATGTATTCCTTGCACAAGACAGATATGTTTAAGAAAAGTCAAGACCAAGGCCTGGGGATGTAGCTCAGTGGTAGAGCAGTTGACTAGCATGTGTGAGGCCCTGGATTCAATTCCCAATACATAATAAATAAATAAATAGATAGAAGTCAAGATAATATTTTACAAATGCAATTATTTTAAATGCACTAGGGAAACTTACCATAACAGAATCCTTCAGAAATGTCTTCATAAAAGCCTATCTTTAAATTTAGATATTATATAATTAGATTTTCTTAACATAGTTTTTTTTTTTAACATTCTATTTATTCATTAAAAAATATTCACTAAAGATGCCAGGCAAAACAGCCCTGAATCCAAGTATTATCATCTCCATTTTGCATGAGGAAACAGAATTGGAAACCTTAAGCACCTTCTCCAAGGTTGATGTTATGGTTTAAATAAGAGGTGTCTCCAAAAGCTAAGACAATTCAAGAATGTTCAGAGGTGAAATATTTAGATTATGAGAGTTAATCTTATGGAGTAACTGTAGGGAGTTGGGGTATGGCTGGAAGAGGTAGATCATTGGAGATGTGCCTTTGGGGTTGTCCCTGGTGAGCAAAGACCTCTCTTTGCTTCCTGGTTGCCATGTCTTGAGCTGGTTTCCTCTGCCATGCCCTTCTGCCGCAATGTTCTGCCACTTCAGGTCCAAAGGAATGGAGTTGGCTGACTATAGATGGAACTCCTGAAACTGTGAGCCAAAATAAACCTTTCATTCTCTAAGTTCTTTTCAGGTCTTTTGGTCACAACAAAAAATCTAACTAAAACAGTTGCACAGCTAAAAGCAATAAATCAAAATTCACACCCACGTCTACCAAAAACCTGTTATTTCAACCATAATACCTCCACATTCCATGTCAACATCCAATTACCTTTTCAGAATCTACAAAGTGTGTAGCAATTCCTACTCTGTACACATCTCTTCCTTTTAGTCTGAATCCTGTCAATGCCAGAAAGTAACCCAGTTTTCCTTGAAGTCTTGGCAAGAAATAACCTCCACCTACATCAGGGAACAGTCCTGGAATTAAACATAACAAAGAGAAATAACAATGACTCAAATAAGAAGTGAATAAAACCTCCTTCCTTTAAGTCACATAGCCATTTCTCTCTGGAGTATAAATCTATACTACAAATATTATTAAACTAAATACTAAATTTAATCAATGTCACAAAGAACTTACTACAAGTTGTGATGATTGGGGTATTTTCAAAATCTTCATGTCTCATTTCTATAGAAGGCAGAAAGTATCGGATGATACTTGTTTTGTGTACTTGAAGTACTCAATAATTCTACCTAAATTTTCCTGTCATCAATTTACTTTTCTAAGAATCTCTGAAATAGATAAAAATTGGAAAAAATATTCTTTCCAAATGATAAGCATAGGGGAAAAATACATAGTCCAAGGGTTATTATGGGAAAATTAATCACCAACATTTAAATCATCTCTGAAACTTAATCAATTATCTAATATTCTAGATATTTAAAGACTAGTACAATACCATTCATTCTATTAAACCATCAGTATGTAACTGATACTAATCACATGCATTTACTCTTTCCTTGGCCATCAGTATTTTTTAAATTCCCTCTCTAACAACAATTGGATACTTTACAATTAGTTACCAGTATACTATTTTTTGGTGTTTAAGAACTTCTTTAAACAACAGTGATGCCCTAGCTGTTTAATTCATACAGCTATTTTAAGGTTACTTAATGTAATGAAGTTGAGATAAAAACAAAACCTCAAAAATTCTTTCTAGTTCTACTTGACAAAGATTCCTATAATTAAGAGAATAAGCAGCATGCTACTGTACATAAAAATAAACTGAACTCCCGACCTTCCCCACTCCTGTCATTACCCACCTCAGTAAAGGAAACAACCATCCACCTTGATACCTTCTCTTAGCCAGGGTGATCTTTCTAAAACACGAATTTTGATCAGAGTATTGCACTCCTTAAAACCCTCTCACAGTTTCCTGATTGTCTTGGATAAGAACAATCATCTTTATCAAAATCCTTCAGGGCCCTTGACCACTTTTTGTATTTCTTACTAGCCACTAAACTCCAGCCACTGTGGCCTTCTTACATTTGCCCAACATTCTGCTCTTCTTCTTGCCCAGAGACTCAATGGTATTTTGCCCAAGTGAAAGCACCCTCCCATCCTTAAACACATTCTTCCCTCCAGGACAACACACATACACACACATTCTCCCACTGTCCCCAGTGGCTGCATCTTTCCAGTCTCCTTTGCTGGCTCTACTTCCTCTGCTTGACCTCTAAGTATTGCAAAGCCTGGACCTGAAATTAGGCTACCTCCTCCTTACACAAGAATCCCTCAGAGCTCCAGAGTTCTCTCTGCAACTCTCTCCTCTGTGGTCCTCTCTTCTGGGAATTCTAGATGCCTTGGTCTCCTTGGCCTCTTAGCTTAACTTTCCCAAATGAAGGACCACACCAAGGCTGGAAACTCAAGGTATAAACCTGGAGTTACTGTGAGGTTTCTCTTGCTTGCTTTCCTTTATAAAGTTGTTCATAATATTTCCAACCTTTCTTTATTATATCTCACACAAGATTCCATTACTTCATTCCTTCAACAACAGTATAAGCTTAAGTGTTTCAAAGGAAGATGATTCTGAAAGTAATCATAAAAAATGATTTTTTACCTATTGCTGTTTCTGGCATTGAAAAAACAGACTTCTCAGTAGCCACTCGGAATTGTCCATGAACTGAGATACCAACTCCCTAGGGAAATAAGAAAAAATTTTTGGTTAAAAAACACTGTAAAAATTGAAAGCATAAAAACAAATAATACAAAGCAAGTGAATTATATTCATAGGAATTTGTTCCAGAAAATGGGTTGAAGACCCAAACCACACAATTTCAGATGAACTTACCAGACCAAAAAAAAGGGAATCCCTGAAATCTGAAACTAATTTGTTTTAACTTAGATGTTTTCAATCAGTAGTGTTTCATGTTCTCTTCCCCACTTCCCTCTCATTTCAAAACAAATGTGGCAAAGATGTAGTATTAAAGAATACTGACTTTTCTCAGAACCACCAAGTGTTGCTTATTAGTGGCACCATAATCCAAAAAGCACAACCAAGCTATTCTATCAAATTTCAATGATTTTAAAAAGAATATTTAACACATTCTACTTACTTACTTATTTCATCAAATAAAATGAGCAACATCATTTTTCTCAGATAAACATTTAATGAGGACCAATTCAGATCACAGATTTTTCAACCCAGACTCTCAAAGCCAGGAGATCCTGGAACAACATATACCAACCTCTAAAAGATAATGGATGCTACCAAGAATCTTATATCCAGCAAAATTAAGCTTCAAATTTGGCAATGAAATAAAAACCTTCCATGATAAACAAAATTTAAAAGAAATTACAGCAAGAAAGCCTGCACTGCAGAAGATTCTTGGCAAAATATTCCACGAGAAGGAAATAAAAAACAATAATGAAAATCTGCAAAGGCAAGAACTACAATAAAAGAAAAGCCAACCAAAGGAGAAACCAACTCAAGCTAAATATCAAAATTAAACAAAATGACTGGTAATATAAATCATATTTCAATAATAACCCTAAATGTTAATGGCTTAAACTCCCCAGTCAAAAGACATAGGCTGGTAGATTGGATTAAAAAAAAAAAAAAGGCCCAACAATATGTTGCCTTCAGGAGACTCATCTCATAGGAAAAGACACCCCAGACTAAAGGTAAAAGGTTGGGATAAAATATACCATTCACATGGTCTACGTAAGCAAGCAGGGGTTTCCATCTTCATATAAAATAGACTTCAAGCCAAAGTTAATCAAAAGGGATAAAGATGGTCATTTCATGCTGCTTGAGGGAACCATACATCAACAAGACATAACAGTTATAAATATACATGCCCTAAACAATGGAACACCTATGTTCATCAATCAAACTCTTTTCAAGTTCAAGAGTCAATAGATCACAACACAATAACTCTGGGAGACTTTAACACACCTCTTTCACCAATAGATAGTCTTCCAAACAAAAGCTAAACAAAGAAACTACAAAACTCAACAATATAATCAATAACTTAGACTTAACTGACATACATAGAGCATATTATCCATCAACGAGCAAATACACTTTCTTCTCAGCAGCTATGGATCCTTCTCTAAAACAGACCATATGGTATGCTACAAAGCAAATCTTAGTAAATACAAAAAAGTAGAGATACTACCCTGCATTCTATCAGACAATAATGGAATGAAATTAGAAATCAATGATAAAATAAAAAATAACTACTCCAACACCTGGAGACTAAAGAATATGATATTGAATGAACAATGGGTTACAAAAGATATCAAGGAGAAGATTTTAAAATTTTTAGAGGTAAATGAGAACACTGATACAACATATCGAAATCTCTGGGACACTATGAAAGCAGTTCTAGGAGGAAAGTTCATTGCATAAAGTTCATTCCTTAAAAGCAGAAAAAGTCACCAAATAAATGACCTAACATTACATCTGAAAGCCCTAGAAAGAGAAGAAGAAATCAACCCCAAAAGCAGTAGGAGACAGAAAATAATTAAAATCAGAGCTGAAATCAATAAAATAGAAACAATTTTAAAAAATTGACAAAACACAAAAAATAAGTAAAATTGATAAAACATTAGCCATGCTAACAAAGAGAAGGAGAGAGAAAACTCAAATTACTAACATCCATGATGAAAAAAGGAAATTTTACAATGGCCACTACAGAAATAAAGAAGATAATTAGAAATTATTTCGGAAATTTTTACTCCAATAAAATAGAAAATATCGAAGGCATCAACAAATTTCTAGAGGCATATGATATACCCAAACTCCATGATATACACAATTTAAACAGATCAATTTCAAGTAAGGAAATAGAGGATGCCATCAGAAGCCTACCAACCAAAAAAAGCCCAGGACCAGATGGATAAAAAACTGAGTTCTACAAGACCTTCAAGGAAGAACTAATACCAATACTTCTCAAACTATTTCATGAAATAGAAAAAGAGGGAACACTTCCAAACATATTCTATGAGGCCAAAATATCATCCTGATTGCACAACCAGAAAGAGACATCAAAGAAAGAAAACTTCAGACCAATATCTCTAATGAATATAGATGCAAAAATTCTCAATAAAATTCTGGCAAATCGAATACAAAAAAACCCCAAAACCTATTGCATCATGATCAAGTAGGATTCATCCCAGGAATGCAAGGTTGGTTAAACATATAGAAATCAATAAATGCAATTCATCACATCAATAGACTCAAAGATAAGAAATCATATGATCATCTTAATAGACACTGAGAAAGCATTTGATAAAATACAGCATCCCTTCATGTTCAAAACGCTAGAAAAACTAGGGATAACAGGAACATACCTCAACATTGTAAAGGCTATCTATGCTAAGCCCTAGACCAACATCATTCTAAATGGAGAAAAATTGAAAGCATTCCCTCTAAAAACTGGAACAAGTCAGGGATGCCCTCTGTAACCACTTCTATTTAACATAGTTCTTGAAACACTGGCAGAGCAATTAAACAGATGAAAGAAATTAAAGGAATACGGATAGGAAATGAAGAACTCAAATTATCACTCTTTGTAGTCAATATGATTCTATATCTAGAAGACCAAAACATTCCACCAGAAATCTACTAGAACTAATAAATGAATTCAGCAAAGTAGCTGAATATAAAGTCAACACCCATAAATCAAAGCTATTTCTGTGCATCAGGGACAAATCCACTGAAAATGAAATGAGGAAAACCACCTCAGTTACAATAGCCTCAAAAAAATAAAATAAAATACTTGGAAATAAACTTAACAAAAGAGGTGAAAGACCTCTGCAATGAAAACTACAACACGCTAAAGAAAGAAATTAAAGAAGACTTTAGAAGATGGAAAGATCTATCTTGTTAGGCAGAATTAATAGTCAAAATGGCCATACTACCAAAAGCACTATAGAGATTCAATGTAACCCCAATCAAAATCCCAATGACATTCTTCATAGAACTAGACAGAGCAATCATGAAATTCATCTAGAAAAATAAGAGACCCAGAATAGCCAAAGCAATCCTTAGCCAGAAGAGGGTAGCTGGTGGCATTACTATTCCAGACCTTTATTACAGAGCAATAGTAACAAAAACAGCATGGTATTGGCACCAAAATAGACCTGTAGACCAATGGTACAGAATAGAGGACACAGAGTCTAACCCACCTAACTACAGTTACCTTATATTAGACAAAGGTGCCAAAAACAAACATTGGAGAAAAGATAGCCTCTTCAACAAATGGTGCTGGGGAAATTGGAAATCCACATGTAACAAAATGAAATTAAACCCCTATCTCTCACCATGCACAAAATTCAACTCAAAGTGGATCAAGGACCTAGGAATTAAACCAGAGACCTTGAGCCTAATGGAAGAAAAAGTAGGCCAAAATCTCCATCATGTCAAATTAGGCCCCAACTTTCTTAATAAGACTCCTATACTGCAAGAATTTAAACCAAGAATTGATAAATGGGATGAATTCAAATTAAAAAGCTTCTGCTCAGCAAAAAAAAAAATAATCAGTGAGGTGAACAGAGAGCCTACAGAATGGGAGCAAATCTTTACCACAATCACAGCAGATAGAGCACTAATCTCTAGGATATATAAAGAACCCAAAAATCTTAACACCAAAAAAGCAAATAACACAATCAATAACTGGGCCAAGAAACTGAACCAACACTTATCAGAAGAGGATATACAATCAATCAACTAACATGAAAAAATGTTAAACATCCTAGCAATTAGAGAAATGCAAATCAAAACTACTCTAAGATTTTGTCTCACTTCAGTTAGAATGGCAGCTATCAAGAATACAAACAACAATAAGTGTTGGCGAGGATATGGGGGAAAAAGCACACTTATACATTGCTGGTGGGACTGCCAATTGGTGCAGCCAATCTGGAAAGCAGTATGGAGATTCCTTGGAAAACTTGGAATGGAAACACCATTTGATCCAGCTATCCCACTCCTTGGTTTATACCTAAAGGACTTAAAAACTTAAGTACTTGGGCGGGGAATGTGGCTCAAGCAGTAGCGTGCTTGCTGGCATGCACGGGGCGCTGGGTTTGATCCTCAGCACCACATAAAAAATAAAATAAAGATGTTGTGTCCACCGAAAACTAAAAAATAAATATTAAAAAATTCTCTCTCTCTTAAGAAAAAAAAAAAAAAAGCATACTAGGGCTGGGGTTTTGGCTCAGTGGTAGTGCGCTTGCCTAGCATGCATGATGCACCGGGTTTCATTCTCAGCACCACATACAAATAAGTAAAATAAGGACCATCAACAACTAAAAAATATTTTTTAAAAAACCCAGCATACTACAGGGAAACAGCCATATGGATGTTTATGGCAGCACAATTCACAATAGCTAAATTATGGAACCAACCTAGATGCCCTTCAATAGATGAATGAATAGGGAAACTTTGGTAAATATACACAATGGAATGGAACATTACTCAGCATTAAAAGAGAATAAAATCATGGCATTTGCAGGTAAATGGATAAAGTTGGAGAATATAATGCTAAGTGAAACAAGCCAATCCCAAAAAACTAAAAGCTGAATGTTTTCTTTGATATGAGGATGCTGACTCATAATGGTGATGGGGGGAGCATGGGAGGAATAGAAGAACTTTAGATAGGGCAAAGGGGAAGGAGGGGAAAGGAGCAGTCAA